CCAGATGTTTTCCTTTTGGCTCGTTTTCAGAAGTCGATTGTCAGGCCTTTCTTCCTGGTCTCTCTTAGTCTAGACGTTCTGCTAAAACCTGGCCTCCATGGTTGCCCCTGTTGGCATTTGAAATACTGGTGACATCGTTTCCAGCCTCACAACAACATTCAGGCCACCACAGTACAACAGCCTGGCAGATGGGGCTGGTGTGTGCTCCCCAGAGGCCCTGTTCTGGGATAGTTACAGTTACCACTTAATTTAAATCTTACCATACCTTCCAGTCCAGTCCCTTGTTTGCAGACTGGGAAACCAAGGTTTGGACAGTTTAACTTGCCCATAGACACTGACCATAAAGTGGCAGAGTTGTGGATTTGAGCCCCGGGATTATGGCTGCCCAGCCGCTTGGGACAGCTCCCCTGTGTGAGGTGACCACCGTGGCTGAGGGTCTTCCAGGCCCAGTGGGCAGGCGTTCAGGTCTCCCCAGTGTTCATGGGACATCTGACCCCACTCGGGTTTCCTCTCCTTTGTTTTGCTTTCAAACAAGACATTTTAGGAAATGATTGGATACTTCACACAAGGACAGATAAGTGGAGGAGAGCAAAGGAGATGCCCGGACTCAGCAGACAATGAGGACAGTCGGCACTGAGTGCTGCAGCCACAGGAACATCTGGGAGAGTGGGAGCCACCTCGCCAGACTGGTGAGTGACCTGGACGTGGGCAGGGAGGGAGCAGAATGGAATGCAGCCTCTGCTTCTTCCCCTTGGGTGGAGATCCCTGAGGATAGGGGGGGGTGGGGGGGTGGGGGGGGGGGGGGTAGGCCTTCTCCGTGTCCTGGACTTCTCTAAGAGATCAGACCCCACCCACCCCAGCTGTTGCTCCTGGCTGTGTGTAGATGGAGGTTCTTAGCCTCAGGACCCAGGAGAGGTGGAAGAGGGATGCTATATAGTAACCTACTGCTCAGCCTGAAGCAACAAGGGAGTTCTGACACACAGTCCAACTTCCCTGTGATAGTGAAGGTTTTGTGTGAGCTTAGCCAGGATTCTCAGTGGTTCAGCATGAAGATGTAGCTGTCTCCCCATGGTGGGGTCTGATAGAATGTAGTTGCTGCCATGATGGGATCTGATGTGGTATCAGTAGCCAGCGTGTTATAAATGCTCACTTCTGTGACGTCTTTGAGGTCAGCTGTCACATACAGGATTAGGTTGTATCTTCAGCCAATCTCTTTTGATCTACAAAAGGAGAGAGATGTGAGTAGAGAAAGAAGAGTGGGAGTGGAGGTGCCCTTTGGACCTGGTGTCCCTGTACCATGAAGCTCCAGGATCCTGGGGAGACTGAGGCCAAGACACACGGAGCTCTCCCAGGAAGGCTGGCTCTACAGAAGCTAAAAGGCGACAAGGCCCTTTCCCCAGAGGCAGTCCTCTGAATTCAGACTTCTGGCCTCCTAAACTGTAAGAGAAGAAATTTCTGTTTGTTAAAGGCCCCCCGCTCCCCACCTTGTGGTCTTTCTGTTACAGCCTCATTGGAGAACTGAGACCGCGTAGCCTTCGAAGACACTGGGCTGAGAAGTCTTTCTCAAAGGACACATATGAAACGGTTTCAGGAATGTGGGACAACAAGACTAGGTAAGCAGAGACCAGTGATTGTAGTAACTTAGAAAAGCAGGAACACTCGTGAGCACCCAGCTCAGAGTTGGGGTGTAACCGTGTGCACCCTGAGGAGTCCTGGTTGAGAAGGCCTTGTCCAATGGATGCATGTGCAGGAGAAAGATCTGAGACTCTTCCTGACTCTAAGTTTACCTCCTGCCCAGCTACCAGGAATACCCGAGGACCTTGCCTTTGGGGATTGCAGTTTGACAATATGTAAAGAAGCATAAAACATTTTCATATGCTTTGATCCTACAATTCCAATTTTATAAATGTATGTGTCCCAAGGAAATCGTTACCATTGGGTGCCAAGATCTCTTGATAAGATGTTGAAGTCACATGATTTATTTTGGAGAAGAAGGCAGTAACTAGACGCCCTCTCCTCAGGGTTGGTGCGTATGTGATGACATCAGTCATTGTACTGTGGAGACCAAGACTTGCCGAGACAATGGTATGTTCCATGCAGGGATGAGTTACAATACACTCTGTGATTGAAACTACGTTCATAAGAGGTATACATGGGACTGTTCTGAAAGAGATCACAATAGGAGGTTCTGGATAGAATGGGAAGAAAATGTGGAACAAAAATCAAAATCATGAAGAGATACCTGGCTTACCAGTTGGCTAAAGGCTGGTACAACCTCTGAGACTATGACCCTTGGCCACCCTTGAGGCCTAGAACTGAACTCACCTCCAGGTTCAACTTTCAGCCAAAAAGAGAGGCCTATAACATTAGCATAGTGGTTACGAATCAGGCTGCGAACCTTAAGGTCAGCAGTTTGAAACTAGCAGCCGCTCTGCTCCCATAAAGATTTACAGCCTTGGAATCCCTGTACAGGGTCGCTATGGGTCGGAACCGACTCGACGGCACTTAACAACAACAACAATATGATGAACAGAGCCCTGTTGGTGCGGTGGGTTAAGCGCTGGTTGCTCTGAGTTGGAATCAATCGGTTGGCAGTGGGATAAGGTGAAAAATCATGCCAGGGAGGGTCACACTTCTTAGAACAACCAATCATGTGAGACCAAAAGGGCAGCGCTCTCCCAGGGAGGAAGCAGGAAACACAGGAGAAACTGGGAAGAGCGTTGTTACGTTGTGGAGATTGTAATCAATGTAATGAAACAAAATGTGTCTGAATTGTTGAATGGAAAACCAATTTCCTCTGTAAACTCTTATCCAAATCACAGAATGGATACTCCTTAAACCATTATCAGCATTCTGATACCAACTGTGATGATTTAACATAGTCACAGTTTGGCGATCCTAAAATCCACTGAACTTTAAAGGGGTGAATTGTGAATTAGAGCTCAATAAAGCTGTTATAAGAATGTTAACAATGTGTTTGTGTTACAGATGACTTTTCTTCTCTTTTTTGGTGCTTTTCTACAATGTGCATAAATTAATTGGGTGACAAGGAAGAAATGCATTGAAATAGGACAAACAACTACAACTTTAGCAGCTCCGTCTCCCAGAGGTGTACCTGGTGGTTCTTCTGTTGTGTGCCACAGATCCCGGGATGTCTGAGGCCAGAGAAGACAGTTCACTGGTGACGCTAACCCTTGACTTCGTGTCCCCCACCCCCGTGCCCTGGGAGGACCTGAGACCCGCTTCCCGTGAGGGACACATATGTTCACACTCTGTTTCTCATGTCTGGGAAGTCCTGAGGATACCACCTGCAGCAGCACTGTATGTATGAATAGGTGCTGTGGTTTTCACACTCGGCACCAACAGTCCCATCAGAGCCGGACTCTGCCACGCCTCCAGGCACACAGCTGGGAGCCACGGCCAAGCTGGGCCTGGGGTAGAGTGGGAAGCCCTCACAGGTGATGGAAGGAGGCACAGAAGCTGGTTCCTGTCACAGGCACATATATGTCATCCACAGCATGCATGAACCAGAGTCAGGAGGGAACATCAGGTCTCCTGAACAAAGGCGATCGATCTCTGTGCTGTATGTGCCCCTAGAAATGGCCAGGCCTTCACCAGCCGTGCATCTGGGTGCTGGGCTCATTGATATGCCATGCCCGACGGTGCGGAAGACGGCTTCCAGCCCAGGCGTCTCCCGCCGATGCTGTGCCTTTTGATTGAAATGTTTTGTCTCCCGGATGACAGCGCATTACTGGAGGCCTGCAGCCCGCTCCCTCCTGTGCCTCCAGCTAATTTTACCTTTTGTGCAGCCAGAAACACAGGGGTCCACGGTGGGAGCTGAGGTGCAGCGTCTACGTGTGCTGGTATTAATGTGTGCATGTGTTAGTGTGTGGGTGCACTGTGGTCAAACACACATGTGAGTGCCTGTTGTATGTTGTGAGCATGCATGTATGTGAATCGTTTACACACACTAATGGTGTGAGCATTTTGCACGTGTGGGTATGTGCATATCTGTGTACATGCGTGCATTGTGAGTGGTGTGCAGTATGAGCTCATGTGTGCATGCATGTCTAGGTGGGAGTTTAAACATGCATTTATACTGTGCATGCAGGAGTGTGCAAGTAAATGTGTGCATGCATGCACATGTGAGTATGCATGCACAAATGTATAGTGTGTCATACAATACAAGTGTGAGTACACACGTGAGTGTGGCTTTGGTACTGCATGTGTGCACATGTGTGAATAAGCATGCATGGGTGGGTGAGTATAGTGTGCATGTGTGAGTTCACATGTGTGAGTATGTGTGTGGCCATGTGTGAGTGGATTCTATAATGTGTACACTACTATGAGTGTACATATCTGTATGTGTGTGTGCATACATGTGAGTGCACGGATGTGTGTATTGTGTGAACACTGCATGTATGAGTGCATACATCTGTGTCTGGGTGTGTGTATGTGAATGCATGGGTGTGAGTGCGCGGGTGTGCAAGGATGTGTATATTATATGCACTGCTTGTATGAGTGCACATGTGTGTGCCTGGATGTGTACCTGTGTGTACACATGTGGATGTGTATACATGTGCATGCATGTCATGGTGTATGTATGGTGTATGTATGAGCACACACATCTGTGTATCGGTGTATACACGTGTGCACATGTGTGGAGTGTGTGCTGTGTGTGCACTGCATGTATGTGTGCACATCTGTACACACATGCACACTGTGGGTGTGTATAGTGTGTGCACTGCATGCATGAGTGCATGGGTATATGTCTGGGTACATACATGTGTGCACAGGTGTGAGTGGGCATGCACGGGTGGGTGTGGATAGGGTGCATGTATGAGTGTACAGTGTGAGTGGTGTCAGTGTGCATGTGTGTGGGTGGAATTACCTGAGGTGAGACTTGGCAGGAGGCATTTTGTCAGCTGCCCTGGGCAGTCTTTGCTGGTGAACTCTGGGTACCCTGGTTCAGGGTTCAAAATTTCCATCTTCTTCCAAGGTCCCAGGGTTTCTTGGGAAAGTTCAGTGAGACGGTGCAGAGCAGAAGGCCTGGGCCTTCCCCGACGTTCTCATCCCAGCCACCCCAGGCCTCCCAGCTCCACCTGCTCCCTGAAGACAGCCAATGGACTAGAAGCTATGTCTTGGGCCCATGGGTGGAACATGAGCAGTAGATACGTAATATCACACACCTGCTATTTGACAGAGGAATTTTATTAGTTCTTTGTTGCGGTGTCCAAATCCCATGCAAACTTAGCAGCTTGAAATAATAAAGATGATTATCTCACAGTTTCTGAGGACCAGGAATTGGGACTCGGCTCAGCCGACTTGTTGGGTTCAGGGTCCCTCATAACGTTGCAGTTGGGTGTGAGCAGGGCTGCAGACTCGATGGAAGGCTTGGAGGGGCAGGAGGCACCACTTCCAACATAGTTCCTTACGTGGCTCCCAGTCATGTGACCCCTCGGCAGGGCTGCTCCAGCATCCTCTAGACATGGCGGCTGGGTTTCCCCGGAGCAAGCAATCCAAGAGAGAACCGGGAGGAAGCCACCATGCCTCTTCTGATCTCATCTCAGAAGTCACACATAGTCATTTCCACGGGATCCTACTGATCTCATAGAGCCACACTTCTCCTCGTGGGAGGGGACTTCATGAGGTCTGGCCACAGGACATGGGGGGATCCTTGGGACCATCTTGGAGGCTGAGCTCTTTAACCCACACCTGGTGCCCTGGCTGTCCGGTAAGTTGTCTGGTTTGCCATCCACAGACCCTCCCTAGCATGACAGGCCCGCCCCCAGTTGGCAGCGCCTGAGGCAGAAGGGTTCTGTATTCACAGTTTGCAGAAGTGCCCTTTGTGAAGCTGCTGCCAGCCAGCTCTGTGTTTGCTTTAGTGATTGTGAAGGTGTGACCCAGATGCCCCCGGCACTTGGGGATCATTAAGCTGGAGGTGTGAATGGAATCTGAGGTGGGGGGGGGCAGTTCTGCCAGTTTCCAGCTGCCTCCAGCCTCTGGGAAGGGCAGCTTGCTGGGGGAGTGGGCTTGGGGGGCTGGGGTGAGCTGTGTATAAGGAGGGGCCCAGCCCAGCCCAAATCACTGGGGGAGCAGGCTAGCCCATCTCCTGGTGGGCAGAAAGGACCGTCTGCCCCACACCGAGGTTGTAGATTGGAGGGGACCCCATCCCCTTCCTGAGCTAGCTCCTGCTCTCTGATGGCTGAGGTCTGGCCATAGATGGACACCCGTGATGAGGAGGTGCAGCGGCAGTATGTTCTCACTCCTTCACAGCTCATGACAGCCCTGGGAGGTCAGAGCAGCTCTGACCCCCATCTTACAGACTGAGCTCTCAGCAGGAAGCGTAAGTGAGGCCAAGCAGGGCAGGCAGTGCCGACAGCTTCCAGTACACCTCCAAGGCTGACATTCCAAGTGCTGCTCAGGAGTCAGGCAGGTGGGTCCACCTGCTGGGAGAGCTCCTGGGGAGTGGGGAGGGTTCAGCTGTGTGGAGCCGTCACCTCCCACGTGTGACAGAGACGCCTGGCTCTCAGCCACTGAGGTGTAAGACATCTGTCTTCATCGCCTGCTGCACAAGTGGGTGGGTTTAAAGAACAGAAATGAATTTCCTTATAGTCCTGGAGACTAAAGGCCAAATCCAGGTCTTGGACAAGTCAGGTGCTTCCTTACTGGTAGTTCTGGGGCCATCCTTGGCTCCTTGGCTTATAGACAACCGGACACAAAACACCTATCTCGCCTTTGTGTGTGTGTCCAGAGTTAAGATGAGGCCTGGTCTCGTTAACACAGCTAAAGAAAGCTCCCTATTTCCAGACAGGATCATATCGATAGGTACTCAGCCACTGCCATCGAATCCGCTGTAACTCATAGTGACCCCAGGGGACACACTGGGACTGCCCATAGTCTTTCCAAGGCTGTCCATTTTGGTGTCTGCCTCGCTTGGGAAAGCTGGAGGGTTCGAACAGGCAACTTTTTGATTAGAAGCCCAAGACTGAATCAGAAGGTTCAGGGGCCAGTAATGCAGCACACATCTGGGGAGGACATAATTTAATCTATAACAAGAATTTTATTCTGTGGTCCAGCGCAATGTGTTAGAACACTTTCATATCCGGGGGCAGTTCTCCACCAAATCCAAGGTCCCAGGGAGGCAGCCCCAGCATGCTGGCTGAATGTGAACCCTGGGAGCCATCCTAGAACGAGGTCTTCTCTTTGGAAGGTAACTTTCTATTTGTATCCTCTTCTTTAGACCTTGTATGTAGTCAAGAATCCTAATGTACAAATAATCCTATGTTCTGATTTTAAAAAGTTATTCCTAAGAAATGGTGTCTGTGTGACTTTTACTCAACATTTGGTTGTTGTAGGCAATTCCCACGTTTCTCTCTAGCTTCATGACAACCCTTCTGGGAGTCTGAAATCTCTCATTATTTTGTACTCTCCAACAATGACCCTTCAGGGGCTGTTGTTAAGTGCCGTCAAACTGGTTCTGATTCATAGTGACCCTGTAGAGGGGTTCTGAGGAGCAGCTGGTGGTTTTGAACACCTGACCATGTGGTTCAAACTGCCTTTCAGTCCAGTGTGTATCCTACAGCCCCATGATCCTTTGAGGGCTTCTACAATCTCTCGCCATTTTGCGTTCTCTTACGTTGATAAGTTTGTGTCAGCATCTCGAGGTTGCTCTTTTGCAGCTATCATGTGTACATGGACTCCTGGTGTGTACCATGGGATAAAGCCTTCGGCAGTTCAGGCTCACCAGCCACTCTTTGGAAACTCTATACAGGGTCAACAAGAGTTGGAACGAACTCAACAGCACTTAACAAAACAATATGTACCTAACCCTGAAGTGACCATCTTTGAGGATGTAGCTTTTGGAAACCATTCATTATGAAAGATGTTGGGGTGGATTTTTGTGAGCAAGAATTTTGTTATAGATTGAGTTATGTGTCCTTCCAAAATAAGTGATGGTGAAGTCCTAAATCTCCCTGAAAAGCAAGCAAACCACCATGGCCATGAAGTTGGTTCTGACTCAGGCCAACACTGTGTGCCCAGCATAGAACTCTGCTCTGTGGGCTTGTGAGTCCTGGAAGCACAGTGGTAACATGGCCCCTCATTAACTGAAAGGTCGATGGTTCAAACCCACCAGTGGTGGCAAAAGAGGAAGCCTACCCAGTAAGCAGGGTAGTCTTGTGTTTACTTACTCCCTATAGTGGAAAATGGTGCATGGTTCTCACCACCCATATGAAACAGTTCACTGTAATGTGTAAGTCAGTGCACGCTGACTTTGCTTACTGGGGACTCTGTGCCTGTCAGGGATTATAAATGTGAAAGGAGGTTTTGATTCCGTAGAAAGATGCTCAAGGTTAGGTGAGCGACAGGCCAGCCAAAGCTGGAAGCAGGATATTTGACGTGGAAAAACCAGGAACAAAAATGTGCAAGGCTTTACTACAGATCAGTAAGCACAAGGAAATCCATGCTTACCATGCTCATTGCGTGGTCTGATGCTGTCTAGCAATATGCTCCCGTAAGGATTTCCTACTCGGCTGTAAAGGGTAAAGGATCCCAGGTGGCGCTGTGATTAAGTGGTTGACTGCGAACCAAAAGATGGGTGGTTCAGGCCCACCAGCCACTCCATGCGAGAACGATGTGGCGGTGTTCTCTCATAAAGATGACAATCTTGGAAACTCTATGGGGCTGTTCTCCTCTGTCCCACAGGGTCTCCATGAGGCAGGGTTAACTCAAGGGCAAGGGGTTCATTTAGGGTTGCGAGGAATAGATGGACGAGGACACACAACCAGAATAATCTTACAGCTCCGGGACACCACTGGTGAATTTGAGTGCCACCTAGGGGGGCTCAGTTTTGTGGGGAGACTTGTTTTCATCCCCAGCACTTATTTAGAAACGTATGCTGGTGGCACAGTGGGTTAAGACTTCAGCTGCTCAACTGAAAGTGGTTCAAACTCACTCAACAGTTTCGATCAGACCTGCTGATGTGCTCTTGTGAAGATCATTGTTGTTAATTACCACTGAGTCATAGCGAAGTAGTCCTGTACACGCTGTCAGTCAGCACTGTGCTTATCTACAGTGCCACCACTCAGGTGCCATCGGTCGGTTCTGATTCATAGCGACGCTGCGTTACCACAGAAAGAAACACGGCCTAGCCCTGCGCTGCCCTCACAATCATTGCTAGATTTGAGCCTATAGCTGCTGCCACGGGGTCTGTCTGTCTCATTGCGGTATTCCTCACTGACAAGGAGCATTCTGGCTGCATTTCCTCCAAGACAGACTTACCTGTTCTTCTGGCAGTCTATAGTATATTCAGTATTCTTCACAATCAACATAATTCAGAGCATCAATTCTTCTACAATCTTCCTTATTCATTGTCCAGCTGCTGCATGGCGGTGTTGTACCATGAAGTCGGTTCCGACTCATAGCCACACTGCACAGGGTTTCTGAGGCTGTAAATCTTTACCAGCGCAGAAAGCCTCATCTTTCTCCCATGGAACAGCTAGCTGTTGGTTTCAAACTGCTGACCTTGAGGTCAGCAGCCAGGCTCATAACCACTGCGTTATTGAAAATACCATGGCTTAGGGCAGGCACGCCTTAGTTTTTTTTTTTTTTTTAACAGTTTAAAGATGTCTTTTTCAGCAGATTTGCCCAAAGCAACATGTTTGATTTCTACACTGCTGCTTCCATGGGCATTGATTGTGGATCCAAGTAAAATGAAATCCTTGACATCAAACTTTTCTCCATTTATCGTGATGTTGCTGATTGGTCTAATTGTGATAATTTTTTGTTTCTCTATGTTGAGGTTCAATTCGTAGCGAAGGCTGTAGTCTTTGATCTTCATCAGTAAGTGCTTCAAATCCTCTCTGTTTTCAAGAAACAAGGTTGTGTCATCTGCATGTCCCAGGTTAGTAATGAGATTTCCTCCAATCCTGACACCTGGGGGGAGGTTTACAGAGCAAATTCGTCTTCCATTCAACAGTCTATACACGTTTTGTTTCGTGACAGAAGTTGCAATCCTTTTAAAGTCACCTTTTACCACTTCTTCCCTGCATTCCCCATTTCCATTTGCCCTTCTTGCCCTAGGAGTCCTGGTGTAGCACTGTAAGGTAAGCACTGTACTGCTAACCACCAAGTCGGTGCTTCAAAACCTACCAGCCGCCCCCTGAAGCCTTATACAGGGTTACTAGAGTCAAAACCAACTCGACAACCCTTAACAACAAACTTTTGTGGGGGCAATTTCTGCCCTTTTGGTCTCAGAGAGTTGATTGTTCTGAGGAACATGTTCCTTGTGGATATTATTAGTCACTCTATAATCCATCTGTCCAGGTTTGAAGTGTGTCTAAGAGTCAGTTCTCAGGGGACCCATCAGTCTCTATCAGACCAGTAAGTCTGTGGCCTTTTTTTAGGATCTTGACTTTTCTTTGACATTTTCCTCCCCCTCTGTCCAGGACCTTCTCTCGTGATCCTGACCAGAGTGGTTGGTAGTGGCAGCTAGGCACCGTCTAGTTAGAACTGTCTCCTTTAGTCTTTTCTTTGCTCCAGATGAGAAGAGACCAGTAGCTGTACTTTACATGGCCGCTCACAAACTTTCAAGACCCCCTGTGACTCCTTATCAAAGTAGGGTGGTTATCAGTGTTTTTATGGGCACTGTCTCTCAAGACAATGGTCCTAAGCCCTCAGCCCAGTGACTCAGTCAGTCACACAAGGTGTTTGGTTACAATACCACCAGTTCTTGATCATATTCCACCTCCTGAAATGGTTGAACATCAATCATTTCTTTTGGGTACAATGATGCTGTGTATTGCTTCCCTCTTCGTTTGATGCTTCCTGTATGGTTCAATTTTTTGTCCATAGAACCCTTCAATATTGCAACTCAAGTCTTAATTTTTTTTCTTCAATTCTTTAAATTTGAGAATTGCTTGGCTTCTCTTTTGGTTTTTAGTTCTAGGTCTTCGCATCTTTACTTGTAACAGTTGACTTTGTCTTCTCAAGCCACCCTTTGAAATCATCTGTTCCGCTCTTTTACGTCATCATTTCTCCCATTAAGTTTAGCTGCTCTGTGGTTCAATGGCAAGTTTCAAGGTTTCTTCTGACAGTCACTCGGGTCTTTTATTTCTTTCCTGTCTTTTTTTTTGCTTTTTTCATGTATGATGTCCTCAGAGTCATCCCACAACTTACCTGGTCTTTGGTTATTACTGCTCAATGCATCAAATCTATTCTTGAGATGGTCTCTGAATTCAGATGGGACATACTGAAGGTCACACTCTGGCTCTTGTGCATAGACTTATTTAATAAATACAATGACTAAATTTAATTTAAATATAAATTAAATTAAAAATAAAATTTTAAGTATATTTAATTAATAAAATGTTCCATAAATCAAAGTAAAATGAATACATAAATTCAATTCAATCAATGAGTATAACACATTAAATGAAATAAATCTATAAATAAAATTAATTAATCAATTAATTTGAGTCAATAAGAATATATAATAAAGTTCTCCTTCCTCAGAGATACTAGTCTCCTTTCAAGCATACAGCAACTACAGGGGGCCAAACAGTGCCACCCAGAGACTTTCCCCATGGTAGAAAGGCAGATGGGTAACATGCCCAGGTTTGCTCTGGTCCTTAATAACAGCAAGCCAGGCCAACAACAGTGTTTTATTATTATTGTTAGGTGCTGTCGAGTAGGTACCTAGCAACCTTTTGTACAACAGAATCAAATACTGCTGGTCCTGTAGCCACCTCACAATTATTGCTGATTGAGCCCACTGCTGCTGCCATTGTACCAGTCCATCTTGTTGGGGGTCTTCCTCTTTTTTACTGACCCTCCACTTTATCAAGCATGATGTCCTTCTCTAGGAACTGGTCCCTCCTGATAATATGTCCCAAGTATGAGAGATAAAGTCTAGTCATTGTGGCTTGTAAGGAGCATTCTGACTGCACTTCTTCCAACACAGTTGTGTTTGTTCTTATGACAATCCATGACACTTTTGATATTCTCCTCCAACACAGTGTAACTAGTTAAATTTCCCGAGTCCTGTGATGTTGGAAATAATGAAGGTTAAGAAATACCTCCACCCTTTGTGTGCTGGAAAATAGCTGACTGTCAAGAACCACCCTTCCAGCATGACCTCCTTCATTATCTGGGGCAGAATGGTGCTAATGGAGTAGATGAGTGGGCTTTCCCAAGTCCCTTCTCCTTTCCATCTCCCCTTTCTCAAAATACTTCATGTAAAGCAGTGTACTTGGACACAGCTTTTAAGTAAAGGTATTGCAACACAATTTAAAAATTGCATCAAATTGAAAATAAAAAAATAATACTTTTAGGAGAGCTTGTTTTGTGCAAATAAAAAAATAAGTAACAGAAGTACTTAAGTGGATGGTTTAACAAACAGAAATTTATATTCTCATAGTTTTGGAGGCTAGAAATGCACATTCAGAGTGGAGGCTCGAGGGAAGGTTTTCTCTGTGAGTCCTGGTTCTGGGAGGGTCCCAGTGCAGGCAGCCGGGATCCCAGCTCTCCTTTCCTGGTGGTAATAGATCCCTCCTCTCTGCTGGCTTCTCTTTGATCTCTTTTAAAGATAAAAGGTGTGACTCAGACAAAGAGACAGTTGAGTATGAGTGGGCATCCCACACTAATGCTGCATGTTAACATAAACACACAACCTAACTTCCATTAACATAATATAAACCTAACTCATTAACATAATATAAACCTACCTCATTAACATAATATAAACCTAACCCCCATTAACATAATATAAACCTACCTCATTAACATAATATAAACCTAACCCCAATTAACATAATATAAACCTACCTCATTAACAAAACAAACTCGTCCTGCTGTAGCACTGTAGGATAAGCATTGGACTGCTAACCCCAAGATTGGTGTTTCTGACTGGACAACACTTAATAACAAACCTGCCTCATTAACACAAATGGGACTGTAACCATGGACAGAGGCTAAGATTGACAAGACATTACAAAGTGGATAGTTACATCACATCTCAAAATGGAGAATAATTTCATCCTAAATCCTGCGGGATCAATCTCAGCTTGGCCAACTATCCTTGAAGGTTTCTCAGAAGACTGCCACTGACCCCCACGTAAAACTACAGAGTAATGGCATATTTCAGGAACCTGAATTTGCGCAAAGTTGGCTCTCCAGGACAGCAATGGAGACCAGACTTCCGCAGAACCTAAAGAGCTGGGAGCAGCCGCCTGGGGGCAGGTAGGATGGTGGCGAGCTTCAAATCTAGGATCCCACACTACTTGTTAAGTCCGGCCCATGGAGGGTGGTTGAGGCTGTCTCTAACAGAACTTGGAGGAACTCAGGGTGACATCACTCAAATATAGGAATCTAAAGTGGCTGGTTCTTGGGTATGTGAGAATGAGTGTCTTTTCTTCAAATTCATTGTAATCCTGTTTATTGTATTCGGATGACCTTTCTTTTTTATTTTTGCTACTTCCTGAAGTGAGTAGAGACTTTCCAACTTCCTTAAGCTCCCCCAGCAATTTGAAATAGCCAATCAAGTAAGAACAAGAATGCACTCCTTAGCAGTTTGAATTAGCCAATCGGGTAAGGACAAGACTGTGTAGTTGAAGCCCTAGCCAATGGGGTGAGACACAGCCTCTGACGTGCATCAGGGATAAAACCTGAGCGAACTGCCCACCAGGTACGCTTGCTGGTTTTTTCCTGTGCCAGTACGCACCCTTCGGCAGAAGAAAAATTTTGCCTTGTCAAGATACTTGTTGATTTTACTGAGTGTCTGTTTGCAACTTCGGGGTTCATTTCTAACAGGTACAAGGACACGTATGCTCAAGCTGGACTTCAAAAACAGGCAATTGTTTATTCTGAGAGCCTTTAAGAGGGTCTTCAGGCACCTGAGCACTTGGTCCAGATGGCCTTTTGGGAAGAGGACAAAATCCAGGTGGAAATCCTGGAGCTGGTACAAGCTGATGAGCTGTACTGTGAATTGAGCAACTAGCTTCTCCTCTTCCTCCTTTGTTTGGGAAATCCAGAAATTTAAGATGAGTCCAGAAAGATGGGGTCTGCTCAGATTAGCCATGTGGTCCAAGTGAGGAACGAACCTGGCTAGGTCTAGCAGTTCCCAGCTGTTCACTTCCACACCCCCTGGGCACCAACTGCACCATTTTCAGCATCTTCTCAATCAGTGACTTGAGATTTAGAGTCCTGGTGTGGTGCTGTGGGTTAATGTGCCAGACTGTAGAGCCGTTTGAACTGCAAGGTCGGCGGTCCAAGCTCACCAGTCACTCTTCGGAAACCCTGTGTCGGAACCAACTGGACGGCACTTAACAACAACAACATCATACTCCAGCTTCCTACAGAACAGTGTAGCAAATCTTTTCTCTGCATAACCCTGTCAAGGAGGGGCGTGAGGAATTCATCTAGGGCAGCTTTATTGAAGCCCAGTCTATGATCACATCTACAGAGGCCAAGAATTGCTTCCCCCTGGTCTATGAGTCATTCACTCTTTGTTCCATATACTCCCACAACCGTTTAAAAATTACCTACAGCAAAATTTTACTTCCATGTGATAACAATGGTATTGTTCGATAACACGTGCCTTCTGGTTTTTATTTCTTTGGAATGGTCACATATATGGATCTGTTTCAGAAGGTTATGCGGGTAGTTCAAATTCCTTGGCATAGACAAGTGCAAGCTTCCAGCACTGCATGTCTGCTGAAACACTTCATCGGTATTCCAACATTCCTTGGTTTTCGCTAATGCTTTTAGGGCACCATGGACATCTTCCTTCAACGCTATCAGTTCTGGATCATTTGCTACCTCTTGAAATGATCTACCAATTCCTTTCTCTCCTATATCCGGATTTGTTTTTTTCACAAGTGTTTATTTTCTACAAACACTTTTCAATCTCTCCGGGCAGGCCCAGCCCTGGGCACCGTCACTGACGTGAGCGTTCAGGGGGGGGAACAGGAATGTGGCGGAACAGGAATGCGGACAAATACCCCTTGGGACTTCCACATCCTGCGGGCGCGACGTCCGGAACCTGTTTTCTGGGCATCGCGCCCACGAGGGGGCACAATTCGGAACCGGACGCGCCGTGCTGGGGGGCCCACTTCGGCGACGGACCGGCGCCGTGCGCGTCGGTTCCGGCCCGAGCTCGGCCTGGGTGGGCCACGGTGGACACCAGAAAGGAGTTTGTTGCAGGAGGCGGAGGAGGGACTCGCGCTGTGGGCTGAGGTACAGCCGCGCTGCCGCCGCCTTCCCTCCTCGGCCGGTACCCCAGCCCTTAGCGGTTCCCCGAGTCGCGCCGGTGTCGAGCGGACAGACGTACACCCACCCTAGTAGACCCCACGTGGCCCCTGGTACGCGCCCCACGCCCTCCCTGCCCACAGTCAGGACCGGCCGCCGGCCTGTGGTCCCCGCCGAGGACACGAAGTGCCCGTCAAGGTTGGGGCGGGCACGGCGGAGGGCTGTCTTCCCTCTGTACTCTCAAAGACCCCAGGTTCTGTGACGGGAGGCCCGCAAACCGCCGGCGTGTGGTCCCGGGCAAGTGGTTCACCTTCCGGGGCCTCCGTGTCCAGTAGGGAGGACAGTGCTCACGTCGCAGGCACGTTAGAGGGCAGCAAGTGGGCAGACGCAGGTCAGGAGGGTGGTGCAGACCACTGCTCCGGAAACGACCCTGTGGCCGCTGAATCAAGGCCTCAGTCCGTCTGTCGGTTCATGCCATTGAGTCGGTTTGGACTCAGAGCGACCCTGTGTATGGCTTCCGAGGACTGGTTGGTGAGTTCGAACCTCCGACCTTGCGGTCCAGCGCATTATCCACAGCGCCCCACCAGTCATTTCCCTTGTTGCTGCTGGTTGCCCTGGAGCCGGTGTGTTTGTTGCAGTCCGTGTCCTTGGGGGTTCTCTTTGCACTGGCTGACGGGTTTGATAGACTCAGGCGGTTAGGGTGAGATACAGCCGTGGTCTGACAGAAAGAGATTTCCTCGGCCGGCCCGGGCCTGGCAAAGCTCTCCAGCTCTTTGGTCGCTTTGCAGCGTTACAGCTGGTTCTCATCATCTGACCTCCGTTTCTTGAAACTTGAGCCAGTGACCTGCCGTATTGTTAGCCAGCTTTGAGATTTATTTGCTCCGCAGCCCTTGATCTGGGTGCCTGCTGTCTGACCTACTGATCTTGGGTGCATCAGCGCCTATAGCTGCATGACAGAACAGGCCTCCCCGTTCGGACGTCTGGCCCCGGGCTTGGGCCTTGGCAGCCTCTACAAGCGGATGAGCCATTTCCTTGAGCTAAATCTCTTTATAGATAAACCTTCCCTAGTTTTGCTTCTCTAGAGACCCCAGCCTAAGACAGTGCTCTTTTCTAGCATTTGGTCTTTCTTGATGGAAATCCCAAGTAAGCAAGATGAAAGCTCCCCTAAACCAGCCTAGAAGAACCAGCCTGGTTTGGTGTCTACTTGTCCAGCCTCTGGTGATTGAAAGCTGTTCTTGTTCCTTCGGGGAGGGAGATCTTTAAACAACCAACCTCAGTCTGTAACTGTAGCAGGGAGATCTGGAAAGCGTGCAGCCTGCAAATATCTGAATATCTGAGGCAGCTTTGACAAATGATTCAGAATTTGCCACAAAGACCCTGGAGAGTTCAGAGGTGGGAGAGCTTGGGGAGTTCCTGGAGAGGGGGGAGATGTGTGTGGAGGGGGGCGAGGCTACCTCCGTCAGCTGGAAGGGTTCTGAGCGCAGGAGGGTCCTAACCACAGTGTGAAGCTGCCGTGGCTGCTGGTTCCCCTACCCTCTTGCTCACTGAACCTTCTCCTCGGTGGACTGCGCTGTGGCCCGAGGCAGCAGTAAGCTACTCTCCTCCAGATGGCGTGAGAAAAAAAGTGGCATTTTGCGTCCTCCCATGGATCTAGGTTTTCTGTCTGTGTTTTCCCATTTGTTTTGTTTTTCTATTTGAATGCATTACTTGGAGTGTAGTGTGAGCGTCTGTCACTTTAAAAACACCATTTTGGAGACAGCCGTGGTATAATCCGTAGGCCGACTTGCCCCTCTCCCTGCCCCTCACCCTCACCGAGCATGCTCTCCTTGGTCCTGGTGAATGGGAGTGGCGTGAACAGGTCAGGCGCCCTCGCAGTTGTTTAGAAACTAGTCTCCTCATTTGAAAACAAGTCAACTATGATGTGCGGTCCTGGTGAACCTGCATGGGACCACCGCCATGTGAGGCTGCTCCGTGCCTGTGAGCTGTCCTCTGAGTGAAGAGCCGATCACTCAGGCCGGCGTCCATGTGAACTCTGGAGCCCTCGCTCTTGGCCCAGGTCCTGGTTAAGACAGGAAAGCTGGGAGCTGCCAGTGTTCGCCCTGTAGGCTCCTTTGTGTTCAACTCCCACCATACTTCGCTTCCATGGCCCTACTGCAAGGAGACTTCCGTCAGTCTGAGCTTCCCTGCTTTCAGGCCAGGCCTGCTCCCTGTTCTCCTCACCTTCCGCAGACCCTTTCTGACCACTGGGCTCACTCTTCTGTTGTGGGTATCCTATGTAGTCTCCCCTGTCCCTCTTGTGAACTCACCATACGCTGGCGTGAGCATCGTGTGTAGTCTCCCCTGGATCTCTCGTGAACTCACCATACGCTGGTATGAGCATCGTGTGCAGTCTCCCCTGTATCTCTCGTGAACTCACCATACACTCGTGTGAGCATCGTGTGCAGTCTCCCCTGGATCTCTCGTGAACTCACCATACGCTGGTGTGTGTGTCGTGTGCAGTCTCCCGTGAATCTCTCGTGAACTCACCATACACTCGTGTGATTGTCGTGTGCAGTCTCCCATGGATCTCTCAGTGGTGCACAGTGGCTACCCATGTTTTCTCTTTTGGGGGTTCTGAGGTAGCTGTGGAGTGCCCTGTCCAGATGGTGGACTGGGTGCCCCGGCTTGGTGAGAATGGGAGCAGTTGTCCTGTGTCTGGGTGGCCCTCTGGCCACTCTGTGCATAGGGGTTTCATTCTGACGATGCCCGGGGCAGTTCCTCATCATGGGCTGGACCCTCAGGGATGTCCCTCATCACTTGTGGTAGCTCAGAGAGACTCCAGGCTGGGCCCCGCCCCTCCTCCTGTTCCTCCATGGTGGTCACACCCCAGGAGGTTCCAGGCCGAGCTGCCGGTATTCCTGTGCTTACCCGTGCCCCGGGCCTGCGCTGGGCGATACACTCACCACCCGGTATTCCTGTGCTTACCCGTGCCCCAGGCCTGCGC